GAAAGTAACCGTGTCTCAAGAGTTAGTTGATGAATTGGGCTCCGGTGTCGACAAAACTATTATATCACCTACAAATGAAACAAAATTTAAATCTGACAAGCCTATGCAAGTAATTGATGTTTTTACAATCACTGCAAGACCTGTTGAAGTAGCATCAACTACTGCTAAGGCCATCACAGTACAACAAAACACTGATGCTGTAGAAAAATTATTAACATCTTTAAAACCAGAATCTTCAGCTTTTGTCGATGTTTCCACTACACCGAAAGTCACTGATATTGTATCAGAAGAACAAGATATTGTATTTGGTTCTGGAGTTGAGGGAAAGGTAGCATCAGAAAAAGTACCAGGTTTTATGAGCACATTTAAACCAACATCAATTCCAAGCAAAGTGTTCAAACCCACACCAGAAGTAGATGTTATTGATGGATTTACACAGAAGCATCTAACAGATGTCAAATCAATTAAAGACGACAAAACACAGGCTCCGAAAAACATTGATAAAATGGATAAAGAACTCACCACAATAAAACCAGATACAACAGTAGAAGTACATATTACATCGAAAACAGAGGCTGAAAAATCGACACCAATTGTTGAAGTTATTGAAGCTAAGCCAACAACACCGATGCCAATTAAAACTGATGTGGGCGAACAATCTGTAAAACCAATTGATTTAGCAACAACTAATGACCCTATAGTAGAAGGAGAAAAAATGAGTGCAACGACACAGTCAGTTACACCAATGCAACAACCTGACGTAGTTCAGACGACAATCGGTGAATCTGTAGCTGTGATGAAAACAGATAAAGAGACATTAGAATCGACATCGTCAGATAGTATTGCTCATACCACCATTTCTCTAAGGAAAGTAACCGTGTCTCAAGAGTTAGTTGATGAATTGGGCTCCGGTGTCGACAAAACCATTATATCACCTACAAATGAAACAAAATTTAAATCTGACAAGCCTATGCAAGTAATTGATGTTTTTACAACCACTGCAAGACCTGTTGAAGTAGCATCAACTACTGCTAAGGCCATCACTGTACAACAAAACACTGATGCTTTAGAAAAATTATTAACATCTTTAAAACCAGAATCTTCAGCTTTTGTCGATGTTTCCACTACACAGAAAGTAACTGATATTGTATCAGAAGAACAAGATATTGTATTTGGTTCTGGAGTTGAAGCAAAGCTAACATCAGAAAAAGTACCAGGTTTTATGAGCACATTTAAACCAACACCAATTCCAAGCAAAGTGTACAAACCCACACCAGAAGTAGATGTTATTGATGGATTTACACAGAAGCATCTAACAGATGTCAAATCAATTAAAGACGACAAAACACAGGCTCTGCAAAACATTGATAAAATGGATAAAGAACTCACCACAATAAAACCAGATACAACAGTAGAAGTACATGTTACATCGAAAACAGAGGCTGAAAAATCGACACCAATTGTTGAAGTTATTGAAGCTAAGCCAACAACACTGATGCCAATTAAAACTGATGTGGACGAACACTCTGTAAAACCAATTAATTTAGCAACAACTAGTG